GTCTGTGGGGGGCCCGGCGAGCCGGCCAGCCCTCACCGACCCCCGAGCGCATGCGAGCACCTGGCACAGACGGGCTGGCCCTCATGGTGGGTTCCTTTGGGGCATCTCCCTGAGGTTTGAGCTAACCCAGTTTTCTCTGTTACCAACCCTCTTCCTTGAGCCGCCACAGCTGGGTTGAGTTCCCCTTCAGGCTGTGATCCTGGGGCGGCCGAGTTGGCTGCAGTGCTCCATGGATGCCAGTTTTGCCTCAGGCTGCCCTCATGGCAAGCCCTGACCCAGCTGACCTTGCAAAGCGTGAGAGCCCTGCGGCCAGCTCAGCGTGCCGGCTTTGCCACGGTGAGGGGCTAATGCCCATTTGGCAGCTCAGTGGGATCAGAGATGTTTCATGTCTTCAAATAACCAGATCCTACCCGTGCATTGCGGTGCGTCCAGGACGTGCCGGACGTAACTGCGCGTGCCCTGGGGACCTGTGTAGCACAAGTGAAACCAGTCCTTGGTGAATCCGGCACCCACTCATGAAGCGACTACAGGGACCCTCACTTCTGTCTGGTATTTACCAGAACAGACATGGGAATGCCTGGTGCCACCATTCCCATATTCCATCACCTGAAGTTGCTCAACCTTTCTATTTGGAGCAGAGCTTTGTTTGCTTTCCATCATGTGAGAGTTTACTTTTTATCTGGTTTGGTCAGTTGTCCCTCCCGCTGTGCCAGGGTATCACTTTTTCAAACTATTGTTCAAACAATAGTTTCTTCCTTCAGGTTTTGGGTAGTAACTCTACATAGTCCTCATTCTTTAGTTTGATGGTGAAATTAAACATGTTCAAACATAGAAATGCAAATTTTTCCAGACAGGGAGAAGTTTCTCTGGAATTGTTTCCTTGTCCATAGTTTTCAATTCAGTGTCTTCTCCTCCTTGCGTTTGCCTTCACCTCCTTTTGGTTCCCATAAGCTTACTTTTAGTCACTCCTCAGAGACATGACTGTAGGGTACTCAGAGTGATTGCTTATCCCCATCTCTGCTTTTATTCAAGATCCACATGCATTAACTTTATTTACATTCCAGTTGAAGTACATTTTAATATGGGTTATAAAAATGTAAGAAGAAGCTTCACCTTGGGGTTTGAACAACTCCCAAACCAATGTGAAGGGACTGCCAGCTTGTTAAGGGTTTGGAAAAATGTGGGAAGGCATGTTTTAACTTACTAAATGGTAGAGGAGATCCTCTGTTCCAGACTCACAGAACCGTTGCTGTTTCCCAAGTGGGAAGCTCGGGCTTTTTTGGGTAGAAGGGCTAGTTTGCTTCCCTCTTGGTTTCATTAACACTAATTAGAGGAAAGAAGGGATTCTCATACTGGGCTTCTTCCACGTTGACAATATCAGGATGAAGAGCTGGACTGAGCCACGGAGCTCTCAGAGAGGAACGCTGTGAAATGTTTACCAGCTTATCTGACAATATAAAGGGTGAGAAGCCCCTTTATGAGCTGGATGGGTACATTTCTATTCCTGTTGCTGTGTGTGCTTATATGCCTTTGCAAACTCTCACGTCTATTTTAGCTGCGCTAAATGCTTTTATCTGCTTTTGCCTTCACTGTTTTGGAGTCAAGGGTGACGTTAAGGTGACTGGCTAAATTAGGGGAACTTCATAGGCCATAGCAATCTTAAGAACAAAGATATTAGAGTGCTCTAAGTGTTTATCTGCCCAATACTTTGTTCCACAATATCCAAAGGATAACAGCAATGCTTCCAATTAAGCTGCACAAAGTTTGAAAGTTGGTGACACCGGGGGGTTCAGAGAAAGAAGTGTCTCCCGGTAGCTATCAATGGCCAGGAGAACTCTCCACCATGTAGCAAGGGAATAGGGAGCATGCCAGAAATCCAGCAGTCTCAAGGAAGAGTAACGCTTATATATTGGATGTATATAATACTTGTTAAGTGTTGAAGATAAAATGGTCATTTGTAGAATCTGGCACACATCACTATTTCCACAATTGTGATATCCCATATCTGTCATGACCACACTTTTAAAGTAAAAATCCAAAGCACTCTCTGGTGCTCATTTTAGAGAAACTAATCACTCTGAACCAAAAGTACACTTCCAAAAGAACGCACGCAAGCGTCAGCACTGCCAAGTTGTGATTCAGTAGCAAAGTATGCATTTTTCTCAGAGTAGAGGATGTTTCCTAGAGTTTCCTAAGAGTGTTGTGGATGAATTGATCATGAAACATCTGGTAAGACTCTAGTTAGAGAGGAGTAATTTTGTGAATTTCTGTTCTCGTTCCACTGTAGGGCTGTTTTCCCAAGTGAGTTTTACAACCCAACCTGTTACCTCAATTACACAGTTAACTGTGTCAGTGTACCTAGGCACCAAGTTCATACGTAATTGGGAAAAGCCTATCATTGCTTCCAGCTGCAGGGCTCTGAGGCACGTTTCAGGGCTCAGACGCCTGGGCCAATGCCAGGTTGCTGCTGGCAAGACTGCATTGTTCAGGAATCAGTCAGCACCAAGAAGCCAGACAGAGGTTTGTGTCCTTCAGTATCCTGAAGTAACTGGCCAGGGTGAACTTCAGAGCAACACAGTAAGTTGTTCCAGTTGGCTCTGCAAGGTACAGCTCCTGGCACATCAATCACTGATGTTGGAAGTGATGACTATGTCACGCTAGTTAATTCAAAGGCAGTCTGGTAATTCCACTGAAGTTCTCCACAGGGCTCTTTGGACTTGTAGTTTAACATAGATTAATGTGGAAAGCAAGCAAGAAACACAAATTTATGCCAAAGAGCCTATTTATACTGAGTTAAATCTTGCTACAGCTTGCTGCAGCACCAAAAGCTATAGATCTTTGAAAACACAAACCAGTTCTGAGTCTCCTACAGTCTGACCACACCTGTTTTAGCACAACAACAGAGCTTGTGCCCACCAAGATTCTCATTCCAGAAAATCTTAAATCTGGGGGTGGTTGATCCTCTGGTCAGCCAAGTCCAAAGTCCAAATCAAAACTGAGTAGCTATATACTCTACCAGCTCCCTTCCCTTAATGCCTTATACAAAGCTCTCTTTTCTTGGAGAGGACAGGGTAGCAACAGAAACATAAGGACACAGACATCACCTTGCACTCATAATAGTGCTTTCAGTGTTACTCCTTCAAAGGCATGTCAGACCTATTTTGTACACATGGCAATAACCTGAGACATGTTTTCATTTATTGAGGCTTGTTCAGTCAC